TTCCAATTACCCCCATTTTTATTTTTTTTTCTAAAAGTGGCTATAAGTTAGATTTATGAAGACAAAAAGACCTCTTACAACTGTGTATTTTGAACAGATTTATGACAGGACTACAGTATCAGCATGGAGGGTCCACAAGGCAGGAATGCAGTAAGGGTAACATGAAAGTGTCATGTAGATGTTAAATAGCACAATTCTTTCCACATTCATAAATCCTAGGTGTCTAAGGTTGTATATTGCTGGTTATAAATTATGTGAGTTCTGCAGAAGAAAAAAAAGCCTTAAAGTGAGAAATCATCTCCATGAGAACTTACCCATTTTGTATTAAAGAATTTCCAAGTACTTCACTGAAACAGTATTATTTCCTATTTAAAGTCTTTTGATTGCTTAAAAAGTAAACCAGATATCTATGGAGAATAAAACAACAAAACATATATGTCTACTAATCAGTCTTCAGACACACAGGGAAAAGTTCTCACATTAATTTACAAACATGAGTTCATAAGGAGTTGATAAGCCCCAAAAGGTGGTTTCAAAAATGTTTAGTAGGAAAATAGCACATTTTACCAAGTATTCCAGTCTGGTTTGAGCTTTACAGCTGAGGTTAAGTGACCTAATAAGCTTTATGATTTCATTACGCCTGAGGTATAGTAAAAAAAATTAGTATCAAACTGAGTATACTTAATCAAAACACATTTAATGCTATTTTTATGTATATAACCACAAATACAACACAAACCTGTATTTATATGTCATGCGTACAAACACACACTTAAACTCTTGATAATAACGTTCAGCATTTCTAGAAGACTGGTTGTTTACAATCTTTTGGGCTACACAATGGGGCTTAAAATTTTCTTGCTACAGTCACTGAGTTGCTAATCTGATCCCACAATAACTAAAGTAAAACCAAAGACTGTTAGGGACTTCAGCAGATCCTAAAGCTATGTATAAAAGATAATTGCATACTCAGGGAAAAACCTGGAATAGGTTAGCCGGTGAGAAGTAGCTAATTATTTCATGCTAGGTCCCTCAGTAAACACTTTTACTCTGCAACTGCAGTGCCTTTGCACTGTTTGGATTAATTCACTTTGGATGCCTAGAAGGCCGATTAATAGAATCTTGGTTGGTGTAAGATCTTTCAGCTTTCCTTGGTGTAAATTAGCTCACATAGCTGAGGCTCCAGCCCCTTCTTGTCCACCTTCTTTGACCGAGCAGAGGTGACACTAGACAGTGGCTGTACCGCCATCTACTGTAGGTTTTTAATAGCACTACTTGGTCTACGCTCGCAGGAATCGCTGCACCAATTCCTCCCACTAACATCCAAGCTCAATGACATAGTCTCCGTTCCCTAAACACGTACTTAAATAATGGCCTGATCCTGCAATCCTTGCTCAGGCAGGACTCCCCCCTACAGACTTCTGGTTGGCTGCTACTAATCAAGCATTGAATATTGTGCTACTGTTCTTCAGCTACTAAGATCTGTTCTATAAATTAGAAATCTGTGCTTCATAGCATTATAAACAGTTGTTTTAAAAGTCAACTGAAAATAGTATAATGCTGGAAAATACATTCAGATTTTCCTGAACCAGCTTATCATGTGTTCCACAGCCTGACGAATGCTATTCATTGAACCCAAATTTTCACTACCTTCAAGAAAGCTTTCTGCAAAACACTTCAAGCGAAGTCAGAATCTGCACACATGCAGCTCTTTCTCAGTTTAATATATGGCTTAAGCTTCTCTTGGTCATCCCAGGCCTCAAGTTATACTGAAAAATTTTGTAATTCCTCTTTGGAGGTTTTTTTGGTTTTGTTTTGTCCCGTCCCCACAACTACTTAAGTCACAAGAAAGCAGTACAGATTTCCTTATTCATGCATACAAATGACTGTCAAGAAGAGGGGCAAGAAACTTCACAGCTGTGGTGTTGAGGGATGAGGTAGTCCCAAGCTGCATTTTGAGGACAAAACTTGATATGCAAGGAACTATAAACCAAAACCTAAAAAGCGTCCTACTTCTATCTAGTGACACACACCCTCCAGCTATGCTAAATGCTGTTAAGTTCCCCCAGCCTCCTGACAAAGTACTCAGAAGCCACCTTTGTTCCCATTACCCGATAGGTAGAGAAAAGCTGATGGAATAGTTAAAAGCAATCAAGTTGGAAAACATCTGCCAGAGTAAACTTTAATTTAGCACACTCTACACAATATTTATAAAGAAAATCTATGAATGCTGCTTGAGTCATTTAAAAGCTGGAGACTAAATTCTGTTTTCTGAATGTTTATTCTGACTCTCCAACTGTTCTTCTTGACAGTGCTTAATTGGCAGACAGCCACGAAAGCTGTTGTCTAATTACACAACATATAGTGATCTTACAGCCCTACAGATAAGACTTTACTGCAGCATAAATGGATTTTAAACATTAGCATACAAGAAAAAGAAAATTAGCTTCCAAATGAGGATATTTCAAAGTCTTGTGTGTCAATAGCCACTATTACTTAGGAAAGCATAATTTTGAAAGAGGAACTTAGAGAGTAATATTTATGTTAAATGGGCTACAATTTAGTTGGCTGGGTGGTTAACTCTATGCATGGTGGAGTTCTAGTCATACCTAATTATGTATTTTAGACTATCTTAAAGATACAATATATTTGCATGGATTCAGTCCAGCTGGGGGTTATGGAAGTGTTATGATGGCAGAGCTACACATGAGGTTATGAAAAGAATAGCTTTTGTGAATCACCTGCAACATTTTGCTATAGAGACACCCTTGAAATAAAGGCACATTAAACATATTCTTAAATTGTCTCAGGCGAGGTACTTCTGCAGAATGTACAATATCACATTGCAGATTATAATGACTGCTAAGGAACATAAGTCAAACAGGTTTATCTTCTGCTAACAAGATCCTAATTGTTTTGTATTAAAAGATGTTGTACTCTACATCTGACTCTGCGATTTAAGTGTGGTTAGCCAGTTACAAGTTTTAAGATGATGGGAGTTCTTTCTTCACTGCACATAAAATTGAGGGACAGGATACAACTATGTATAATAAAGGCATTGTTTTGGTTTTATATGAAAAAAATTACATTCTCCTCTCTTTCAGCAGATACTCTGCAGATGTGACAATGATGATATCACTGAGAATGACAATTCTCTTTCTGGTGTACTGACTGAAGAACTAGGGAAAGAGAATCATACCACACAGTTGCAGGGGGCTGTTCTTGCATGCAGACTTAACAAATAGATGTATACGTGAATTTCAGTGTAGCTTACCTTTTCTTGGTAAGATCTTGCAGAAGCTCTTGCACGTGTGCAACTGAACAGCTCTGCTGGTTAAGTGGGACTGCTCAGAGCATTAGTTACTTCTCTGAGTACACTGTTGTCAGATTGCGCTCCTTACACAGAATGGCTTGATGCTCTCAGAGGAGTTTTCAGAATCCCACTTTAGGGGAATTATGACATCCTCCTCCACAAACAAAATTAATCTAAGAAATACGGTGCTAAGACCTCATTCCAAACAAATACAAAGTGAAGCCTTTGTCAAACCTTTGTTTTTCAAGAACTTGGCTTCCTATGAAATACAGACAGGGAGGCGGTAAGATTCAGCTGCTTTGGCACCTAAAGCTTGTACAAACATTAAACGTGTGATAAAGTATGAAGCTGCAAGGTGGAGCAAGTGAAGTAGTGACATACGATACTGCAGACTTCTCCTCCCTGTTTCTAAGCCTATACTACATGTACTTAAGAGAAATACAACTGAATTAACAGAAATGTCTATCACGCGGCATAGCAACCTGCTGAAGAACTCCATACTTTACACGTTAGCTAACAAGGGATCTACTTAAGTTCCCAGGTTTATCTGGATTTATATAAACCAACTCAAGAACCAAAACGTGGTTTTCCACCACTGAAGTGGGTCAAGAGAGTTTCCTCCAACAGTGGCATAACAGCATGCTCCTATAGTGGGATGTAGTCACATGAGAGTTACAATACAATATATTTTGGTTTGCTACATACAGTTACTTCAGTTTGAGATTACACAAAAGGAAAACTGAATAAAGGCTACATTTCTAGCACTGACAGTGAAAAATACATTACCAGAAGCCAGTTAGTACTAAAAACCTAGTTAGTGCTACAGAAAACTTCAGCCATGGAGACAGCCATATGACTTTTGCTTTGAAATACTTTCTAAAAAAAAACAAAAACAAAAACAAAACCAAACAAAAAAACCCACCCCAAAAAACAACAACAAAACAAAACCAAACAAAAAATTCCCAACCAGAAACCCATCCGACAATGAAACGCGTGTGAGGTCTAAGGGAACGCCGCCTCACATGTTTACAATGGGGCAGCAGCGGTACGGCGGCGCTGCCGCCCCGGAGCGGCGGGGCGCACTCCAGGGACGCAGCAGGCACCGGCATCGTCGCACCGCGGGTGGCTCCGCGGCAGAGCACCGGCTGCCGAGCCCGCCGGGCACCCCCACGGCGGACAGCACACTCGGGGCAAAGACCCAGCCCTCGGAGCAGCCCCTGCTGCTGGCTGGAGAGAGGGCAGCGGGGGAGACAGATCTTAACGCTGCTCAGGGAGAAGAGCGTGTGTGTGTGCGTGTGGGAAACCGATGCATTGTTTCAATACAGCGTTCTTGTCAAGACACTCGTATGACAGGGGATAATGATTTTCAGATTCGGGAGACAATGCCCCCCCCCCCCCCCCCCGCCCCGCTCCGCGCCACATCCTTACAAATCTTTCTAATTTGCATTTCTGCCAGGCAAAGAAACAAACCGTGCTCGGTGAAGGCATTTGCAGAACAAATGTAACCGGAGAGATCTGCAGATACGGCCTGGCGAGGAGCGTAGTCCCTGAGGAGCCCACCCTCCGTTCCCCTGCCGAGCCGTCACCTTCCCCTTCCTTTCCCTCCCCGGCTCGGGATTGCGGGGCCGGGGCTTCCGCCGCCGGGCGCTTGGCTCGGGGGGCAGCGCACCGGCAGAGTCGTACTTACTGAAGGGGCAGTTCTCCTTCTTGGTGCCGCTGACCTTGCCGTTCTTCTCGATCTTGAGAAAGTACTTGTTGTAAGAGTAGAGCTTCCTCTTGCGCACATCTCCTTGGAGGTGATTGTAGCTCCGCACGTGTCTCCCCGCACTGGAAGGAGAGGAGAAGGACGAGGGGAAGGAGGAGGATGATGAAGAAGAAGAGTTGGTGGCCTCCGGGGACAGCATGTCCTGGCTGAGGTCATGGCAGGTGACAGGCACAGAAGACACCAAGAAGAGCAGCAGTAAGCAGCAACAAGGCAGGTGGGAAGAGGCTGAGGCACCATTTATCAGTATCCATTTGCACATTGTACTGAAACTCTGGGCGCTGGAAAATGTCTTATCAAATGAAACATACTGGAAGGGTAAAACCTGGTAAAAAGCAAGTGGCGAGCCGGTGGTTGCTGCTTCTGGTTAGATTCCTCTGAGCTCTGATCTGGCCTGAAGTAAGTGTACCAACATCCATAACTCAGGGGACAAATCGCCTCAGAAGTTTCTGCCTTTTAATCCTTCGAGTCCTCCCTCAGAAAAAAGGCTGTTGGATTTTTTTTTTTTTTTTTTGGGGGGGGGGGGATTGCTGTGGTTAATCCTCTTTCCTTATTCTCTTCCCTCTCCACCCCCCCCCACAAGCACATACACTCCCCAACCTGGTTGGAGACTTCCCAGTAGTTATTTTGTTCTCTTCCTCACTCCTTTCTTCACCATCTTAGATGCAGAAAGGTCTGAAAAATAGATGACACCAAAGTGAACAACAATAACAACAACAACAAAAATAATGAGAGGAAAGGGGTGCCAGGAGGGATTTTTCACTCATACCCCTTACAAACGCACTCACACTTTGTGGCTTTGCACCTTCTTCTGATCCCCACCCTCTCGCCTTTTGCAAATCCCAAACCAGTTGCACGACACGTCCTTTCTCACTGACAACCCCAGAGCAGGGATTGTCTTTGTTTTGCTTTGAATCCTCCAGAACAGTATTAAAAAAAAATTAAAAAAAAAAATCGGGGGGGGGGGGGGGGGGGACCCGAACTTGTTCCCCCCTCTTCCCTTTCTCCCCCCTCCTCGGGTTGTAAACAGGTTGGAAGTTGTAGCCTAAATGTCAGCGAATACAAGTCAGAGGTGGGATGTGCCTCTGGTGGTCAACCCTTATTTGCAGGGGGTCAAGCAGCAGTGGGACATCTGAAACCCGTTTGCAGCTGGAGCGAGCGGTGCCTGCTGCGGACGCAGCCCCGGGAGCTGCCCTCGTTTCCTCTCCGCTGCAGCGGCAGCCGCCGCCGCTGCCTTCGGCTCGCTGCTAATTGCTCCTAAAGCGTCCTTCTCCTCGGAGCGCCGGCCACCAGCATGGTTTAGAGACTCATGCTTTACTAATTTCCCTGTCCTCCAGGCTGAACCAATCCCCTCCAGAGAAGCTTCCCTCCCCCTCCACCCCTACTCTCCCCCCTCGCCCCCCCCCCCCCCCCCCCCCGAAAATAGAAACTTGTTTCCTAGCGGAGGATTTTATTTTATTTTTTTGGCAGTGAAGTGATTGAGAAAGCCACCTGGAGCTTGTTGCCTGCTAGATCTCCCCCTCCCCCCCGCTGGAGGAGGGGTTGGGTGGAGAGGTTGGAAAGAAGTGTATACTACAGGCAGACCCTGGAAAAACAGATTATATGCTGGTCAGAGAGAGTAAAAAGGGAATAGGCATAATTAGCTCCTTTTCCCTCTTTGCCAGCTTCCATGGAGGTCTTTCTCCCTCCTATAATGAATCACTGATTTCTCGCTTCCGTTGCTGAAATAAAAAGTTCACACTTTAGCCTGCTCTTCCTTTTAAGCCTCTCAAGATTTATTGAGTCTCTTACCCCACCCTCACCCTCCTTGTCTCAAAAGAAATCAAGGCCCTAAGTGACCATTTTCTAATTGCTAACATGAGTCATTTACTGAATCATGCATCTGACTTCAAAGCAAAAGGGGCTTTATTGGGATTGCAAAGGTTTCCCCATAAAATGTCTGAATATTTTTGCTGTCTTTTTTTATTTTTTTTAACTAATGCAGTTCCCTTTGCCAGAAAGAAACAAATTTTCCATTTTCAAGGCTATTTTAAAGCGGTTTTTCAAGCTATTATTTTGCTGGAGGGGCATATGTTGTTGTTTTTCTCTTTGATTTCATCTTTCCTAATGGATTTGTCATTTCACATACTGAATGTTATGACAGATTCGTATTTCTAGCCTGTCACTGAACTGTCAACTTTCCCAGTAAGTAACAGGCATCTTCCATATGATCTTTTCACACCAGAATAAGGGATCAGGGACTGACAGGATATGGGCAGCATGCAAAACAGTAGGTTTTAGTTCAGTATTTAGTGCTGTAAAATAACTGTTTTGGAACGCAAGTAGGTGGAACTTTCACTAACAGAATGGAGTAGCAAAGGAATGAAGTAGTACAGAAACACAGTGAGTAGCTCAATACATAAAACCAGAACTTTTTTTAAATAGAGGCAGTTTAATAATGTAGCTCAGTAGAATGCAATGGAAAATGGCCTATGCAGTTGCATTTGGCATTTGGAATAAATTTTAATTTAAACAACAGAAAATGCAGAAAAGAACAAATAGTTCTAAAATTAGATTGATTCATTAGATTAGGATGTTAAATATATTGATAACTTCACAACAGAAATTAGAAATTATCTTCTCCAATTGTGTTTATTCTGGAGAGAGTCAGTTCTGAAATTTATGTGTTCGGCTTCTGGAGGCGACATTTAAACAGCCTTAAAAATGAAACAATTTAATGCTAGAATCAATATGTTTTATGGTGTTGTTTATAGTACTTCAGAGTATTCTGCATATATTTGCACTGAGAAGCATTTCAGATTTTTTTTTTTTTTTGTGAATCTGGTTTTAGGCTTTCCTTTTTTGGCAACTCATAATAAATAAAAAATAAAAATAAAAATAAAACCAAAATGAAAAGCAAAAGCCTGCTTTTTGGTGAACACCAGGCAGCTAACATGGGAATACAAAGCCAATGTCAATGTTTGCTTGCTGCCTAGGTCATGAAGGGTACAATACATTGTTTCTAAAACTGAAGTTCCTTTGATTCCAACCGCTTACATCATAAATAATCAGTATAATGTCTTAAAAGTATACACCTGAGGAAACCTTTCATTTTTCTTTTCCTGTCAAATGCTGGAAAATACAATGAATTGGTATTTTAGGATCTCTGGTGGCAGGAAAAAATGGTAGTTTGGAGGTCAAACAGATATTTAACACCTACTCATTTAAAAAATAGGTACTGTCATGAATTTACTCAAGAAGAGTTCTGCTTAGACCTACTTCTTGTACAGCTTGTGATTGGCTGTATGTTGATCTTGTGGTCAAGAACAAAACCCACATATCTGGAGTTTCATATTAAATCTGCTTCTGGCAGGTGCAGTATTCAGTGCAGTTCTTAAAACAACTACAACTCATAGAGTCCTTTTTTACCCTGTGTGATGACAGTGAGGGCATTTACAAAACAGAGTCCAAATGAAAAGCTGACATAGCTTTTTAGATTGTATCTCATTCTTTTTTCTACTTTCTGTATAGCCTTTCTTTTATAGCACAGTTGAATCCCTAAATACCCCACTACTTTGTATTGTCAGGTCACCTTTTAGGTTAGCCTGAGAAAGCCTGAGAAAAGTTCCACAGGAAAGATGCACTATTTAACGGAATTCAATCTGTCCCAATAGATTTGAATCACTAACATAAATGTATGAATGTAGATTATATCTCTGTAATGAGGCCTGAATCATTCTCAGTCACTTCAAAGGACTGAAATTCAACCTTCCTTTTTAGCAGCAACAATCAGACCTTAATGGGTTCCTTTATTAATTGTTCCACTGCTAAACTTGAAAAGCAACTACCTTCAGTACAGGTCCTAGACTAAGAATGGTACCTGCTGCTTTTAAAACGTTTCTGCCTTGCTTTATACCACTCTAAGATTATGTGAAAAGCTTCTGGCACTGCAGTTTTATAAATGCTGAATTACATTGACCAAGGCAGAATGAAATAATAAAACCCCTTTTCTAAAAAACTGTGCAAAAAATAGAAAATATATTTTAAGAATTTTCTTTTGGGGCTGTTTTCTTTCCAAAGAATATTCAGGGAAATTACTTGCACAGATGAATTTTAACGAAAAATACTCTAAACAAATTATTATTTTTTTTTTATACTTGTAGTAAATGTTTTTGTTTTCTTGATAGGCAAAGAGTAATTTATTTTTCTTTTTTGTGTGAGGTAGGTAACTTGAATCAGAGAAGCAGTATTTTAAGGCAGTTGGAACAGATTTTGCCATTTGGAATAGATTTTGCCTTGAGTGTTAATATGATCAACTCACTCTCAGATGTTACCACCCCTTAGTTTGAATTTCTAGATAGCAATCATGGCCATTTGCTCTTTACAGTATGGTGAGAGATGCACATGCATCTTGTGGTCATGGGACCCAATTCTGTTCTTATTCAAGGTGTTGGGAAATTTGCCAGTGATTTCATTGAAAGAGAAGAGAGATTTGGGTCAGAAATGTCACTGCAAGAGATGCAAGCCTGCCAGAAATGAGGCAAGGAATGCCAACTGCCAGTGGTGGCCTGTATGCCTCCATTTGTATGTCAGTTCTGAACTGCAGAATATGGTAGTGTTATAAAACACTAATCTTGGTTATAAGAAAAGGCAGTGTCACATAGTACACATGATCATCAGACAGCAATGAGACAAGCTCTTCGATTTGAGATGCATCACTCCTTACTGAAATCTACAGTGTGGAGTTCATGCCCACCAATAGGAAGGATTGAAGGCCACTGTATTTTATCGGAATAAGGTATGTCTTGAAGCTTGAGGCAGAAAATCGTTATAGTTGTTTTCTTCTGAGAAATCTGAAAAATCACTATGATTTTATTTACCCCTATTATTTGCTATATCATGTACCTCCATGTCGTTTAAAAAGTGTCAAAATACTAATATTATTCTCATTTCATGTACAGAATTAGGTATAAAATAAGCCCTTAAGTGGTCAAAGATCAAGACTGAAGGCATTGTAACTCATCTGTGAGTTGAAGCTGGAATAAGGCTTATAAAATCAGAATACGATTTCAGCTGCCTGTAGTGGAATTTGGTGGTGTATGGAGCATACTGCTTGGCTTCTCTACGCGCAGCCCTCTTCCAGCTCAGTATCTGTAACTGGAAAAGAACTCTTGCAGAGTTTAGCAGAGTATTTCTAGGTCAGACTTAACAACAGACATGAGCAAAGTGAGTCTGAGATGACCAAAACATAGTTCAGCCAGAGATGCTTCCACCCAGCTTACATAGTTACTAGTGAGAATGGCCAAGAGCCCTGCCCAGAATGAGGCTAGTCCTCAGAAGGAGTAAGATGGTACCCACCCTGTGAGACCTGGTGGAAAAATGAAGAGTTGGCTGGGCTAGTAGTGATTAGCTGGAATATGCCCTATTTTGTGTTTTAAGAAACAGAATCAAAATATGGCAGCTGTTAGGACTGCACAGGTCATCTTGTGAACACACATTTGAATTGTGGGACCAGGCAGGATTTGCCC